ACTGTGGCAGAGCATTCCCCTCACAGGGCATGGCTGTACACACAGCAACAGAGCAGCCAAGGGAGGAACATCCTTTGTGATACCAAATTAAGCAGCCGTGGCCATCCCAAACCACTGCAGCCAACTTGAGACTCACTGCTCATTCCAGGTGAAGTCTATACCACTTTGGTGAATGTAGCATCACCCTCTCCTGTTGCCTGCACTAGTCACAAATCCTTTTCTCAGCACCCTTGAAGGACAGTCCTATTTGCCAGAGGTCCTACCCAGATGATCTGGGTGTCTGCACAGAGTCCAGGGCTGTCCCTTCGTGAGGCAAATCACTGAGCCAGGTAGTTACTCCCCCCCAAAAAAAAAATGGAAAGGCTTTGTTATCACCAGAATTGCAGCCAACAAGTTAATAGATAAAAGCAGTTTGGGAAGTTCAGCTGACTGAGGCTCACTGCCCAGCACACAGGGCCCTGCTAACTGCTTCTGAAAAGTATTTTGAGGGGGAAGGAAGCTGCAAAACATGATATGCCTTGGCTGTGCATCTTCAGAGAAGACTTTAGTCACTGCAGAAAGATGTGGAGGCCTGCATAGAGATAAGTCTCTCGTGTGCCTCAGTAAGTCTCTGCTATGGAAATTTTATGAACTATTAGTAGTTCTTTAATGATCCTGAAAAATGTCTCATTTTCACTTAATTCTGGGACTAGTGAGCCGTGGTGGAGAAATCTTTGAGGATACTCAGCCTCAGATGCTGCATCGCAGTATTTCTGTGTGGCAGGGCTGAGTCAGAAGGGTGGATTTATTGGTTCTGCATGAAAAAGGTCACAGGCAGGGGTTGCTGCGCATGGGCAATGAAATCTGATTTCTGCCATCCTGCTGGGCTCGAAGAGTGTTTAACCCCGAAACTGTGGTCACTTTTCTCCATCCCCTGCTACAGGCAGACTTTTTAAATGTATTTAATTAATTTTGAGGTTTAAATGTTACAGTCAACAGCCAGGTTTGGGGATTTATCAGTAGGCTTCACCATTATTCAGATGCTTCCAAAAGAAGAGAGCAAAAGGTAATTAAATACACCAGCAGCTGTTGCCAGAGGTTGTCTCATTTGAAGATCGCGATGAGGGACACTTCCAAAAAGCCTCAGCTGGCCCCTGGCCACAGGTTTCTATCCAGGCTAGTGTGATCAGAGCCCCTGCCCTTCAACCGAATCACCATTGGTGAATCTGGAAGTGGCTGGGTGAAATCTGCTTTGCGGAGTTCAGACTAAGCTCTCCTGCACAGCTTGAGATGGGATATGTATAATTTAAAACCCCGTTTTAAAGAACCAGAATGAGGAATGCAGCAAATTCAGGCTTGAAAACTCAAAAAGCTTCTTGAGCCAGCTTTTGACCTTACTTGTCCACTCCTGCGTGATACCTCTTTTGTGATATTTCTTGGATGATGTGTCTTCCCAATGGAAAGCAGCAGTGTGACTTGGAGCAGCGTGAAGAGCTGCCTGAACAGGTCCCACCAGCTCTGTGGTATGTTTGCTGTAAATTAGAGCAGCAAAACCTTGGGAAGAGAACCGGTGCTATTGAGCCCTTCCTTTCAGGTATGCTTAATGGGCAAGTATTGAGAGCATGCTGGGCATTGTAAGTCTCTTCTTCAGCATTTTCCCCCAGAATGGCTTGTGAGCAGGTGAAACAGCATATTGTTTTAATAGCTATTGCGCTGATTTTTTAGGACTGCATGGTGGTATTCTGCTTGGGATCAGAAGCCAGCAGCATAGTTTTGTGACTTTGGGGTTTTTTTTGACTTTTCATCCATACAAAGTTGTGATAATTGAAAGGTCTGTGAGAATGGATTCCTTCTGCATGAGTTACAGGCAGTTATTAGTGTCCTACAAATCTTTTATTCCGTTTAGCAGTGCTTAAAGTGTGGCATTTCCACAGAATGGGTTGGGTTGGAAGAAACCTCAAAGCTCATCTAGTTCCAACCCCTTGCCATGGGCAGAGACACCATGAGCAGGGGGACAGCTTGCCTCACCATGGGCGGTACCACGAGTTGCAGGGTAATCTTTGCTCCAGCACCTGGAGCATCTCTTCCTCTTCTTCTTCACTGACCTTAGGGTCTGCAGGGCTGTTCCTGTCACATGTTCTCACTCCTCTCTGCAGCTGAATTTGCTCCTGCTCAGTAACTTTTTACCCTTTTAAAATACATTATCCCAGAGGCATTGCCACAGTCACTGATGGGCTCAGCCTTGGTCAGAGGTGGGTCCATCTTGGAGCCAGCTGGCATTGGCTCTGTTGGACATGGGGGAAGCTTCTGGCAGCTTCTGACAGAAGCCATCCCTGTAGCCCCCGTGCTGTCAAAACCTCACCACACAAACCAAACACAGGTGTCTTGGGGAGAGCTTTTACCTTCAGAAGCCTCTTGCCTAGAAAACATTCCTGCAGCTCTGGAGCTCACGAGACATCCCAAGTTAGATCTAGGTAGCAGGGAAACCATGCTGTATCTTTACATGCAGCCCTCAGCTTGAGACTTCCTCTTCGTGGAAGACCTTCCTCTTGCAGGACAGTAATTTTATGCAAGAAGTTACTCGTAAGCAGGGCTGAGATGATGACCAAGATGCTTTGCGAAGTGCCAGTGTGGGACCCCTGGGGCACAGGGCTGGCCAACTGCATCATCATTCTTGTTAATGGATTGAACCCATTGCCCTCAAATGAGGAAGAGTTGGCACTTAAGTAGTGCCACTTAACAGCTCAGAGATTAATGGAGACTGCACTCGGATGCTCTGACGCAACCTAACCTCCCTTCTTTAAAATCCATATGTTTCCCAAGTGCTTTAGGAAAAAAAGGGGGAATGTTAAATAACTCTGATCAAGGTGTTTTTAAAAACATCAGCCAAAGTACTCAGTTGTCCTTTAACTTCAAGAGGGGTCCTCTTCAGCTTTAGATTTCACTAGTCCTTGGAACCAAGTTGTTCTGGGCCATTGATGGGTGGCTTTGCTGTTTTACTGCCAAAAGCCATATGTCATCCCCCAGCATCTCTTCTAGGGAACCCAGAGGACATTTTTTAGGCAAGATACTGCTAAAGATGATAGGTTATTTACTCCGGGTCAGAGATCCCAACCCTCCCGGGAAAAGCTCACAAAGAAGGAAGTGGACATGTGCACAGTGGGCTTGGGTTTTTACTTGGCTTCAGGTTCAAGCTTCATCTGAGTGAATTTGAGATCCCCTTGGGATGTTTTTCATAGAATCCTAGAATAGTTAGGGTTGGAAAGGACCTTAAGATCATCTAGTTCCAACCCCCTGCCATGAGCAGGAACACCTCACCCTAAACCATGGCATCACTTTTAGTTGAGAATGGTGCTCCGCTGCAATGTCACAGGGGCTTTGCAAGTACTTTGAAGTAAATTTGCCCAGGTGTTCCCTAGTTTGAGGTTCTTTGTGGGTTTTCAATTTCTTCCCAGCTTCAGCTGGAGTGAGGGGCAGGAGGACATCACAGAACCACAGAATGGTTTGGGCTGGAAGGGACCTTAAAACTCACAGACTGGAACACCTCCTACTAGACCAGGTTGTTCCAAGCTCTGTCCAACCTGGTCTTGAACACTGCCAGGGATGGGGCAGCCACAGCTTCTATGGGCAGCCTGTGCCAGGGCCTCAGCACCCTCACAGGGAAGAACTTCTTCGTAATATTTAACCTAAATCTCCCCTCTTGTCAGTTTAAAGACATACCCTCTTGTCCGTGTCCTCCTTGCATTGGAGGCCCTCAGAGCTAGACAGAGAGCTGCAAGGTGGGGTCTCACTAGAGCAGAGCAGAGAAGGAGAATCACCTCCCTCGACCTGCTGGTCATGCTAAGGACATCTCAGGTCTGGGTTTCAGGTGTCTTTTTGGTACTTTAAATTAATATAATTCTTCTCTAGGAAGTTGGATGGGGACTTGCCTGGAACTGTGGTGTTTAAGCCACTCAGAAGCAATTGTAGCTTGCATTCAGGAAATAATTAGGGCTATCTTAAACAAATCTGTCAAAGCAGCAATGGGTAAATTGCTGCAGCAGTGAATGGGCAGGAAGGGGTTACCAGCTGCACCCAGTCACTCCTTGCACAAGAGATGCTGCCTGTTCGGTTCCTGGAGAGCCATTTGCAAGCACGGCAGTTTCCAGGAACTGGCTGGAGGGATGAGATTAGAGGAAAGAGGGGTTGCTTTTCTTGATGGAGAGCCATGTCCTGTCTGTCCTTCTGTCCCTGCTCACCAGATGCACTGACAATGATGCCATGATGCTGAATTCCTCCTCCCTCCCTTGATGACTAATGTCTGCATCTGTGGGTAATTAGATAAGGTGAGGGCGAAGGCTGCTGTCCTGGACTTGTCCTGCCGCAGGATGCTGCTGCAGGAAAGGCAGCCTAGGTCAGTGTGGCTGAGCTCACCCTGGGCATGGATGCTGTGGGATTTCATTAAGAGAGGAAGGAGAGGGAAGAGGCTGTTGGAGAACTGAGGTGTTCGGAGCTGTCCTTTTCAATGAGGAAATTAGATTGCGGCTGCAGAGCCCACTTGTCTATCTGAAGTGGAGCTGAGCTCATTTCTAGGAGCCTTTGGACAGAGCTTGTTGGGGTTTAGAGCCCTTCAGTTCCTGGTAATGATGCCTGCAGCTGCGCCGCCTCCTCTCAAGAGCCTGTCTTGGGGTTTTGTTGTACCCAGGGTACTCTGAACTCACGTTTCACAGTTGTTCCCATGTTGATTCCTCTCTCCCTAACAGCTCACAACCTTTCTCAGGACAAAGGATGGGATGAATGATTCAGGGCAGCTAAAACAGCTGTGTTCCTGTGTTTCATCCCTTAAAAACACCATAATTAGTCCAAACGCTAACAAGTAAACGCCCCTGCTCCAGCACAGGGAGGCCTAGTGCCAGCTCTTCGGAGAGGCCAAGCACCTTTCGGCACCATCCCTCCATGGAAGTGACATTCCTGCCAGGCCCTGGCTTCCCCAGCTTGTTTGCATTGTACTGAATTAAACCTCTTTGTGGCTCTCCTCACAGGTGTTGGCACAAGGAACTACTACAGGAAGATTGGCTATGAGCTGGAAGGGCCTTACATGGTGAAAAAGCTGGACTGATGCCCCAGGAGGTCCTCACCCTGACCAGCTGCTGGGAGGAGAGGTGAGGAGACAAGACTCATCATGCAGAGGCAGCTCAAGAGGACAGACGTAAGCTAAAAACCAAAGCCTGCCAACTGCAAAGAACTTGCTTATGCCAGAGCCCCCAGCAGCAAATGGGACATCTCCTCTTGGGTGATCAGTTCTGAGCTCTGCCCATTGCCCCAGGAGAGGCTGGGGGTGTTCCACTTGTGTCATTACATGTGTAAGCCTGCCATACCTCTGGGAAAGCTCTGAGGCCTTTCAGCAGAGGACTGAACGTAGGTGAACTGAGAGCTCTGAATGGGGGACACTATTGAACAGCCTAGTGGAGAAAACATCTGTTACTTCTGTGATGCTGTCAGCAGGTTTTTAATGATTCAGCACTGAAACCGTGTGGGCTATTCTGCAACATGAATTAATTCTTTCTCTGTGTGTATTCATTTATGCTGGGCTTGGCTGCTTTCTGTCCATCCCAAGGGATGCCATTTGATTGTCTTGCAGTAGGGGACTGTGAGGATCAGAAGCCACTTTGGTGTCTGTAGGAACTGAGATTAAAACTTAAACTGACTCTCTGTGGTGACACACAGCCATGGAGTAACTGAGGTTGTAAGGGACCTCCCATCTCCAGTCCAACCCTAGAGCAGGTCCAGTTAGATCAGAGTGGCAATGCTTGAGTATCTCCAGCGATGGAGATACTCAGTGGGTGTGGATGGAGAGTCCACAGCATCTAGGTCCCTGTTCCAATATTTGACCACCACCCATATGTTGAAGAAGTTTTTCCTGATTGGAATTTACAGTGTTTCAGCTTATCTGTTGTCTCTCAGCCTGTTGCTGTGAGCTTCTGGGAAGTCTGATTCTGGTCTCCAAGCTTCTCCCTGCACATCATGTACTCCAATGCCACAACCATGCTGGTGGTTTTCACTTCATTTTGTTAGTCTGTATTTCCAGCTCCAGATCCACCCCTTCTCCAGCCCATAGCCCATTGATTTGGGTATGAGGATGCCATGTGGCATCAGTGTCAGAAGCTTTGGAGATGTCACAGTGCACAACATCATCATCTCATCACAGCAGGCAGCAGGGTTGCTCAGCCATGATCAGTCCATGGGGGATCCCTCCTGGCTGTTCCCAGCTCTCTCCTCCCCTCTCCATCCCACAACAGGAAAGGGCCTTTGGGAGCATTTGGCCCCAGCTCTCCCAGCGAAGAGGTGGGGTTCACTGCCCTGTAGCTTCTCAGATCCTGGTTCTCCTTGAAGATGGTTGCCTTTTCCAGACATCAGGAATGACAGAATTAAAGCTTATTTTTGCAGACAGAGTGAGGTGGGTTGTCAGAGTGAGCTGTGACCCTGGATGAAGAGCTCAGCACTTTGCATCCCTCTCCCCAGCCCTTTGGTGGGGTGGGGACGTCCAGGACATGCAGTGTCCTTTGACACTCGTGATTCAGGCTTTCCCAAAGCAGCGGGCCTGGGGCTGCCTGCTTGATGTAACAACAACAGAAGCCCTGACCTCATCCACTTCTTTTATTGTCTTTCAATCAAAACCGGCGTAGCGGCTTGCAGAGCAAGTTGACATTTTGGGTGCTGCTCTAATAAATGACTCTGTCAGGAGCCTTCTGGAAACTTCTGCAGTCCGGAGTGCTCAGACACACTCCAGAGGAGGAGCGGCTCAGGGAGGAAAGCTGTCATGGCAGCGGTGCCACGCAGGGAATGCGATTCTGCCACTGTGATCTGTTGCTGCTCCTGCCCCGCAGCTTGCAGGGTCAGCGGCCAGAGCCGTGCTGACGCACAAGCGGCACACGTATGGGAAAGGAGAGTCCAAATACCTGGTAATAAATGTGTTATTATTGAAGGTGAACACCAGTGTCCTGGTTAAGGGCTGGGGAGTGACAAACCACAGAGCAGTGTGCTGGTACCGAGCTGAGTGTGTTTGAGCCTCCTGCCCTCTGCGGAGGTTTGATTTAAAGAAGGGAGATGGAAGCTCATGCTTCTTGATTTGTTGAGCTGGTTTTTTTCCATCCTCCAAGACACTGGTAAATGGGGCGCGTTAAGCTTCTGACATGGCACGAAGGGAGGAGATGGACAGGGACATGGGGAGAGGAGATGCAATTTCTGTGCAGAATCCTTGAGATTTTCCACAAAATTTGTTGTACTGGTGCCACTGACATAATTATGAATCACTCTGACGCTTCCAGCTCTGACAGCCAGGTTTTTTTCCAGGTACTGGCCAGAAATGCTTACCATTTCCGTGCGTCTGAAAGCGTGGCCCTCCGGCAAATCTGGGATGGACCGGATACGTTTGTTTCTTGGTTTTTAAGGCCAATGCGTTTTGAGTGTGCAAGCAGATTTATCAAGAAATAAAGCAATTTTTGGGGGTGTTGTATTTGTAGCTTCCCATTAGTGTGTTCTTTCTGGGGTGATTTCATGCTGCACTTGCTCAGCTGCTGTGAAACTCTCTGGGCTTGTCTGCACAGGCTCGGGTCTGTTTTGAAGTGTGATGTATTGATTTGTCCCTTTGATATAAATGCAGCCAAATGAATAGCTGGTTTGTACTTCTCTCCAAGCCCCAGTGCTTCTGCCAGGGACAGGGAGTTCCTCCAATGCATGTTCCTGGCACATGTCCTGTCAGGATGAGATCTCAGGCCATGGCTCTTCCCGTCCGTGGCACAAGCAAACCTCATGTGGCAGCCCTTTGAGTGGCTGCCCGAGTTTAAAAATATCATGGATGTGTTACTCACTTATGGAGGGCAGGGAGAGGGACATCTGAGCAGGTGAGTGTGGATTTTCCAGAGGCTTTACTGTGGTTTATAGGGTCTGCGGTCGCCTGAACATAAGTTCAGCCAGGATCATTTTCTGCAGTTCATTCTGCTGCTGCCTGTGATTTGGATGCCAGGAGGGAAAAGCAAAAACCATGCTTCCCTCTAAAGCTGTCCTGAAGGGTTTCATGCTTTCTTGTGTTTGAAGAACAGTGGGCAGGAACATTTAAAAAGCCACCAAGTCTGGTAAGATTTCAGACATCTTTAGCTGCCAAAACCTGGGAGGCACAAATACCTTATGGGAGGAGAGGGACTGTGCAGGTCATAGAATTACAGAATGGTTTCGGTTGGAAGGAACCTTAAAGCTCATCCAGTCCCAACCCCCTGCCACAGGCAGGGACACCTTCCACTAGACCAGGTTGCTCCAAGCCCCGTCCAGCCTGGCCTTGAACACTGCCAGGGATGGGGCAGCCACAGCTTCTCTGGGCAACCTGGGCCAGGGCCTCACCGCCCTCACAGGGAACAACTTCTGCCTAAGATCTCATCTCAATCTCCCCTCTGTCAGGTTAAAGCCATTCCCCCTTGTCCTGTCCCTACAGGCCCTTGTCCAAAGCCCCTCTCCAGCTTTCTTGTCAGCCCCTTTAGGCACTGGAAGTTGCTCTAAGGTCTCCCCAGAGCATTCCCTTCTCCAGGCTAAACAAGCCCAGCTCTCTCAGTCTGTCTCTATAGCAGAGGTGCTCCAGCCCTCAGAGCATCCTCGTGGCCTCCTCTGCACTCACTTCAGCAGCTCCATGTCCTTCTTATCTTGATCCTTCCCATAGTGATGCTTGAAGTTTTGTGGCCACTTCTTGGGGCGACAGTGAGGAACCAAGTGTCCAAATAACAAACTGGGGAGCACAGAGGGATCCAGATGCACAGCTGGGTTCTTACCTTAGTTTAGGTTATTACGTATGGGTTTGCGTTGGGTTTTTTCCTCCATGAGAACAGCATCCATTCCAGTACAGGTACATGGTTCTTACAGAGCTATTGTGTAGGAAATCAGCTAAGAGCATCCTGTAATTAACTGTGAAAGGGAGAGTGGCTTTGGAATCCAGGAGCCTTTGCACTTCAGCCCATGAAATGAGTCTGTCTTGTGCGGCCATGAATCATCCTCCAGTCTGAAGCAGAGTAAGTGCAGACAGCATTGCCTTAAGTGGCCAAGCCCAGCTTCTTTTACACAGGACTTGGTGGAAGATCAGTGAAGAGTTTACTGAAGCCTCCTGGATGGAAAACACAAAAAGAAACACCAAAAAACCCTCACCAAAATCCACACACCCCCAAGGTGATTCACATTGACGAGCTGCAGCTCTTTCTCCCTTCATGATGGGAACAGGATCGATTAAGCAGACACAGCCTTACACAACTGTTCAAAAGATGAAAAAAGTCAAGAAAATGCAATTTGCTCATCATCCCCAGCAGCCTGAGGGCTGTGGCTGATCCCACACCTGTGGAATACAACCTCGGCTGGGAATGCCCCAAATTCCCTTGCTCTGGATCAGGATGGTGCCAAGGAAGGATTCAGGTCACTGCTGCAGAGCGAATGCTGGTGCTGCATCCCTCATGCTCAGTGACCCATGGCAGCCTCAGGCAGGCAATGGGGCTTTGAGGGTGATGCTTTCAAGCAAGAGCAGCAATGCCGGTGGTGTTCCTCTGCCTGTGCCTGGCTCCTTCACAGCCCATGAGGAAAATAAGCAAGCAGGCATAAAGAAAGCAAGCTGTTAATGGAGGCTGCTCTCTCCTTTCATGGGCAAACAGTGATGACCAGGTTAAAATCCTTTGAAGAAGGAGGAAAAGGGTGAGTTGTGCCCATCTCTGCATTAATTTTAGCCTGTTGCATTTCTCCTGCTCTCCCTTTTTGGGACACCGATGTTCTCTGCCTGCCTGCAATCAGACACAGCCAAGATGTGGCACGTGGGTGCCATGGAGCTCAGGTGCAGCTCAAGCAGTAATAACTTGCCTCAGGCCAGAGCACCAGGGCTCACACCATGATCTCCTTGCTGTAGTCCTGTGCTTTCTGACGTGAAGAGCAGCTCTGCCAGCTTTGATATTTCTCTTGCTTCTATTTATATGCCTTTTCCTCATTGCTTTTAAATTACCTTCTGCCCCTGCCTTGGTAGTGCTGGAGTGATTAGAAATGTGCCTGCTTGGCACGCCTCTCGCTATAAGCACAAGGGCTGTAAAGATGGGGTTCGCTTCCCCATGGCCATGGGCATAAGCCCATCTTTGCCCAGGAGAGCTGCTGGGAGAAGAACCCTGCTGAGGGTGTGGGACTGCTGCTATCTGGGACTTCTCAGATCCTGTCAGGGGCAGCATCAGACCCATGAAAACATCTTTTCACCCAAAGGGCTGTCAAGCACTGGAGCAGGCTGCCCAGGGCAGTGGTGGAATCACCATCCCTAGTGGTATTTAGAAGATGTCTAGACCTGGGGATATGGTTTAGTGGTGACTTTGCACTGCTGGGTTAATCTTAAAGGTCTTTTCCAACCAAAATGATTCAGTGCCGACATTGTTCAGGTGTGTCTGAGCCCCTCTGCTTTGGTGCCCAGCCTCGGAGGAGGCATCGCCCTACTTACATAGCTCTGCAGCAAAATAAATCCCAGATCCACCACAGCACCTGCACAACCCCCTGTTCCCTCTCCCCAGCACAAACCCACTTGTGGACACCTCCAGCAGGTCTCCTTGCTGCCCAAGGCTGCCTGTTGGTCACCCTGGTGCAATACCTGCTCTCACTGCCTGTAGCTTTGCAGGCAGAAGTGGTTCCTGTCCCTCAAAGCTATGTGGGTAGCTGTGAATGCACAACCCAGGTCAGGCACAATGAACACAGTGATTCAACAGTCTCTTTAGGGAAAAAAGAAGCTCCTGGGAGCCGCAGGACCTGATGTGCCAGTGGCTTTTGGCAGAGCATGGTGCTGAATGCCTCTGGACAGTAACGCCTACAGGGTGGAAGAGGTGGCTCCAGGAGAAGGGGATCCAGGAGAAGGTGGAGGACCACAGCCTAACAGCAGCAGCAGCAGGAATCTTGAAATATAGGAGGAGCTGGGAGATACCTCAAAACCTTGAGGTGTTCAAGCCTAAGATGCCTAAGGTGAAGCGTCACCATTACAGGAACTGGACTGTAAACCAAGAAGACTCCAGCACTGAGATAACCATGGTGAAGCAGAGTATGAGCAGCTCAGCTGCTCCGCTGTCATTAATGTTACTGGTAAGTTTTACATCTGATTGATAGACCCCTGTTATGAGCAGCCTGGTCTAGTGGAAGGTGTCCCTGCCCATGGGAGGGGGTTGGAACAAGATGAGCTTTAAAGGTCCCTTCCAACCCAAACCATTCTGTGACTGCATTTGAAAGGGATGAATTTTGCAGATTAGATGCTGCTCGGTTTGGGGAGAACACAAGAATATCTGTTTTCAGATCCTAGTTCGGCACATCCTGCACCCAGCTACACCGGGGCCTTGTGCTTCTCTCCATTGCTCCATGAGACCCCAGCAGCTGTATTCATTATTAGAAAAGGGAACTGGGAAAAAGAAAACCAAAGGGAAATAGAGAAAGGAAAAAGGGTGAGTAACCCAGCAGCCCCTCACGACTCCGGGTCCCCTCTCGGTGAGGCCAGCAGCGCCTCGAGGATGCTCGAGGATCAATCTCCTCCTGCCACTCAGCTTTTGTTTTCCTTCCCCGCTCGCATCCTCGGTGCGGCGGCAGCAGGGGCCGCCTCCTGCCTCCAGTGCAATAAGCATCGCGCCGGGGACTCTGCAGCGGGTCTGGAGGAAAAGGAGAGAATTAAATCGAGAGAAGCAGGAGCCAGAGAGGAGCCTGATGGTAAAAAATGGAGCAGTCACGATCCGGCTGTGCTCATCAGCGCTGCTTAATGAGAATACAGAGTCAGGGGGTCGGAAAAACAGAGTGCAGGTGAAGCGGCACCACGCAGACCTCGGCTGAACAGCGCGACACAAAACCTGTGGGCTCGCCTCGAGTCCTTTTCCGAATGGGAAAGAAGTGGTTTGGCATTGATTTATCGATGCCGCTGCCTGCTTCCCTTTTGTCCCTTCCCCGTCTCAGCTGGCTGGCGTGGGGGCTGTGCGGGATTTCATCCCCAGCACTGCTACAGAAGGCTGCCAGCCCCTGCACCGCACCACAGACCCGCTTTGGTGGCTTTAAACTTGCTGCAGCACACTTGGATTTATGTTTTTTTTTAATCTCCCTCTTCCAGTTTCTTTATAATTGTGGGGAGAAAGGCAAATGTGGTGGGTTTAGCCTCAGTCTACAGTGTAAGCAAAAGGCTGAGACTGCTCAGTCACCAACTGACAGCTCAGTTCAACCAGCACACAGCTTTTGGCAGAAATTGGTGCTGGCTTAAGAGAAAAAGGTTAAAAAGCCCCAGCAAAGTATCAAGTCCGTGTGTACAAATTGCTCTGTACATACCTGTTTTCACTGCCTAAAATATCATCTAAATCTCCCCTCTGCCAGGTTAAAGCCATTCCCCCTTGTCAAAAGCCCCTCTCCAGCTTTCCTGTGGGCCCCTTTAGGCACTGGAAGCTGCTCTAAGGTCTCTCCAGAGCCTTCTCTTCTCCAGGCTGAACAAGCCCAGCTCTC